GCACGGTGCCCACTGGTGCTGGGGTATTGGGGCAAACGCCCCCCAGGCTCTCACCTCTCTCTCTCTCATTATTTCCCCACCCCCGCATTGCATGTGACTTCATCATCCCCGCTTGCTTCTCACTGGCTGCTTTCCTCTCCCTCCTGCCTGCTGATTTGGTTATTTGCATCGGCTGTGACTTGTCTCCCCATGCGTATGCGTGTCCATGGCCACGTGTGTCCCCTTCTTGCATGTGTTGTCCATGCCTCGTGACACACGTGTTCCTCCGTGTCCCCCCACCCATTGCCATGTCCCTGTGTCCTGGCGCCGCCATGTCCGTGCGCATCCCATGTCCCTTGCGTGTCCCATGCACGGCATAGGCTGCCGGGACGGCTGGGCCGTTCGGAGAGCCTGCGGGCAGTGGAGCGGCGCCGGTCCCAACGTGGCTCAGCCAAGGGGAAGCCACCACGCTCCCGCAGCGACGTGGACCTGGACGCGGCTGCCCGCGCCGGTGCCCTCGCGGCCCCCCCGGGCCCCCCCGGCCGCTGCGTGTACGTGTGCGGGCGCGAGCATGCAGGGGGTAGGTCGGGGCGGGTCCCAGCAGTGCCGACACTGATGCCGCGGTCCGGTCCCTGCAGCCTGGAGCCGGGGGAGCCACCGCCCTTTCTGTCTGTGCAGCCTGAGGAGGGTGCTGAGCCGCGCCCTGCGCCAGGGCCAGAGCTGCCTGAACCGGAGCCGCCGGGCACCTGGCGCCAACTCGTGGCCCCTGACGCCCTCCTCCGGCTGCAGCCCACCGAGGTCAAGCGCCAGGAGGTCATCAACGGTACGTGCCCCAAGCCCCAAGCGTTTGGGTTCCCAGCACGCTTGGACCTTATAACCCTCTGGACTCCGACCAGCCCCCACATCCCTCCTAGAGAACCCATGCATCCGGGCTCCTAGCCCCGCTGGACCCTATAAGCCCCCCTGCTCCTCTCCTCTCCTCTCCTCTCCCAAGAACCCAGGTGTCTGGGCCTCCAAGAACATCCCCCGTAACAATGGCGGGTGGTGGATGTGGCCCCCTGCGCTGACCTTCCCGCCCCCGCTTACTGTGCCCCTAGAGTTGTTCATGACGGAGTTTGCACACGTGCGGATGCTGCGGGTCCTGCTGGAGGTTTTCTACCAGCCACTGCTTGCTGACAGCTTCCTTGCAGAGGATGAGCTTGTTGCCATGTTTCCCGGCCTGGAGGACCTGCTCGAGGTGCACGGTATGACCAGTGTGGGACCGAGGGGCACCTGGGGGCTGCGGGTCAGGAGTGAGGGGCACCAGGGGTGGAGGCTTCAGGTCGGGAGTGAGGGGTACCAGGGGATGCTGCGGGTCGAGAGTGAGGGGCACTGTGGGGGGAGGGCTGCGGGTCGGAAATACGGGGCACCAGGGAATGCTGCAGGTCGGAAGTGAGGGGCACCAGGGGCCTGACCCCCCTGGTGCTGCCCCCAGGTCTTTTCCTTGAGAGCCTGCGGGAACTGCGGGACGACAACAACTACGTCGTCCCTGAGATTGGGGATGTGCTCCTGGCCCGGGTATGAGGCGGGGAGCCGGGGGCTGAGGGCTAATGAGGGGGGTCACGGCCTCACAGGGGCTGACACCTCCCCCGGACCCCCGCCCCCCTGCAGTTCGAGGGCACGGAGGGTGGCTGGTTCGAGAAGATCTCAGCACGGTTCTGCAGCTGCCAGTCCCACACCCTGAAGCAGCTCAAGGCCAAGCAACGCCGGGACCCACGCTTTGCACAGTTCATCCAGGTACAGACCCCCTAAACCCCCGACTCTGACTCCCTACCCTGATCCCGACCCTGATCCCGACTCCTTGGTGCCCGCAGGAGGCGGAGAGCCAGGCACGCTGCCGGCGGCTGCAGCTGAAGGACATTGTACCCATTGAGATGCAACGACTCACCAAGTACCCGCTGCTGCTGCAGAACATCGCCAAGTACACTGGTGTGTGAGGGAGGTCAGGGGGCAGGGCAGGGGGCAGGGGTCACGGGCCAGCGCTGACCCCTGCGCCTGTGCCCGCAGAGGCACCGGAGGAGCGGGCACGGGTGGAGCATGCAGCTGAGTGCTGCCGTCACATCCTGCACCGCGTCAACCAGGAGGTGCGCGACATGGAGAACTTCATGGTGAGCTGCCAGGACTGTGTCCCCCGCCCTGCCCTGCCCTGCCCTGCCCCCGCCCCCCCCCTGCCCTGCCCTGCCCTGCCCCAGCCCCCCGGGACCCGCAAGCTCCCCCCCCGGAACTCCCAAATCCATATGTGACCCCCAAATCTATTTCTGCCCCCCTGCAGAAGATGAAGGACTACCAGGGCCGCCTGGACCTGTCCTACATGAAGCAGAGCTCAGACCCACTGCTCAGCGACTTCAAGGTACCCAGGGGAAGAACTTGGGGGCACGGGGGGGGGCGGCTCAGGGAGACCCCCTGACCCCTGATTCTCCCCCCTACAGGTGTCCGACATTACCAAGCGGCACCTGGTGCACGAGGGGTTGCTGACGTGGCGTGTCTCCAAGGACAAGGCTGTGGGTGAGTGACCTCCCTCCTTGGGGCAGGAGGGTGCCTGGGGGGTCCCTGCATGGGGCAGGAGACGGGGGCCCTGGGGAGGGGTCCATGCAGGGCCTTGGGAGGTAACGGGGGGTCTGTGCAAGACCTGGGAGTCCTGGGGGGCATCTGTGCAAGGGTGGGGGTCCCTGCAGGTCCTGGGAGTATCTGCTGGGGCTGGGGAGGTCTGCAGCTGCCCTGGGGAGGGTCCATGCAGGGCTTGGGGGGTACCCAGGGGTCCCTGGGGTGCCCATGCTGGGGGGCCCGTGCACACCCAGGGGGTCCGTGTGGGGCCTGGTGGTCCCGGGGGGTCGGTGACCCTAGCCACCTCCCTGCGCAGAGGTGCAGGCGCTGCTGCTGGACGATCTGCTGGTGCTGCTGCAGCGGCAGGAGGAGCGCCTGGTGCTGCGCTGCCAGAGCCGCCCGGTCAGCGCCCCCGACACCGCCAAGCTCAGCCTCAGCCCCATCGTGCGCCTCAGCTCCGCCATCACGCGCCAGGTAGCCACAGGTAGGTGTGGCCTCCACCCACCCAGCATGCACTGGGGTCAGGCCCCTGGGGCACTGTGGGAAGGGGATCGTGGCCATGTCCCTGGGCCTGAGGCATTGTGGGAAGGGGAAATGTGCCCTGCCCTGGGGCATTGTGGGAAGGTTTGCATGTATGTGGGGGGGCTTGCCCTAGGGCATTGTGGGAAGGGCTGTGTAGTGGGGCTGCCCCCAGTGCATTTTGGGAATGGGAGCTTGGCCACAGCCTAGGGTATGGGGGAAGGGGACTGTCTCCTTGTCCTGGTCCATCATGGGGAGAGGCACTGTGCCCTGCCCCAGTGCATGGTGGGAAGGAGGAATATGCCCTTACCTGGGGCACTGTGGGAAGAGATATGTATATAGGGGGGCTGCCCCAGGGCATTGTGGGAAGCTCAGTGTTCTCCCATGTACCTGATCTATGTACACTCCTCCCACATCTGTGCCTGATGTTGGAGGGGTCTCTGCCCAGGGGCTGGGAGTAGGACCCCCCAAAAGCCCCTGGCTGATGGTGTCCCCCCCCCACCCCTGCAGACCGCAAGGCCTTTTACGTCATCAGCAGCTGTGAGAAGGCACCACAGATCTACGAGCTGGTGGCACAGACGGTGTCGGAGATGAAGAGGTGGGGGCCGCGGGTCGGGAGGGAGGGGCACGGGGGGGGGGCAGGGAGCAGCCTGAGCTCGTGTCCTTCCGCAGCTGGTGCTCACTGATCGACAAGACGGCCGGGAGCATCAAACTGCCCGAGTCCACTTCGGTGAAACAGTCTCGGCCTGGACAGAACCCGCCCAGCCCCAGCTAGTGAGTGCAGCACCTCTGGGTGGGCGTTGGGGCAGGTGGCTCTAGGGCGGGTGTTGGGGCTGGTGTGGCAGGCCTGGGATCTGGGGTGGGCATCGGGGCGGGTATCGCATCCTGGGATGCGGCTGGCTCTGGGGGCTGTGGGGCAGGTGTAACAGTCCGCACTCTGCCCCAGCTGCCGGGAGCCGCTGCTCAGCACCTCTGAGAATGGGGCGTCACTGAAGGAGACAGACGGAGAGTGTGGGGGGCCCTGGACTCCTGGGTTCCTCTCACTGGGGGCAACACTAAGGACTCCTGGGTCCCCCCGGTCTTACCTGCCCTCCCCACAGAGCGCGACAAGGACAGGGCACTGGAGGGGGCTGAGTTTGAGGAGTGCAGCCCTGTGCCCCACCCCCACAACGATGCCCCTGCCCTGGCCGCACTGCTGGCCCTGGCGCGGCCCCTGGGGGGTGCCGAAGGGGCGCTGGCGGCCACCGCACTGCAAAGGGGTAAGTGACCTCCCACCCCATTTTCCCCCCCAGGACCCCCGCTCCGTCTCACCCCCCTGTGTCCCCCCAGTGTCAGCGCTGCGGCGGGCGGGCGTCGGGGGGGGG